CATGTGGCGTTGCTCTAACACCTGACGGAGTGTGAAGATGTGGTCAACGCAGCCTCTACCCGGTCGAAATCCCGCTTGATTCTCACGAGTCAAGACTTCGCGTGCCGCCGTAAGACGACGAAGAATCAATGACGCCAGAAGCCTTGTCACAACAGGCGTCAAACTAACACCTCTGTGGTTGCTACATTCACTGCGAGTACCCTTTTTGAAAATGGGCACTACTATCGACTCACTCCAGTTGTCTGGGACGATCTCCTTCTCCCAGATAGACCCAAATAGACAGGCCAGGCACTGACTGAGGAATCCGCCGCCATCCTTGAAGAGACCAGGTGGAAAGTCGTCAGGACCAGCAGCCCGATGACGCTACAGAAATGCTTCTGCTTTGCTGCATATCAGGGAGCCATTTTGGTCCCTGACTGTTTCACTGACAAGAGGTTTCCGAGGACCAGTCGAATCAATCAAGTGGAACAATTTGCGCATGTTTCCAGCATTTTTTGATGTAACCCGGTCTTGTAGCAGCACTTTGCACTTGGAAGTTATGAAGCGCATGCCATACCGCGCGGCAGAGCTATTTAGGCTATTTTGAATGGTTTGCATTTTTGAATTATCTGAACTAAGGAGAGCAATATCGCCCGTATACACAATGACGAAGGGCGAACATCCCGGGAGCATTTCGATCCTCGAGGTTTCAGATGCGGGCAGAGAAACTTCAAGTAGCACATCAATAAAAAAAACTTAGAGAGGAAAGGTGAAAGAAGACAGCCTTTTCTTACAACCAACGTGGGACGTTTGAAGGAGCGGCGCTGTTCAAGAATTAGTCCCAAAGTAAAGAAATGGTCAATGAGTCCTGGGCCAGGGCGAAACTAAGCTTGATTCTCACGAATCTCTCGCTCCCGATAATCAACCAACCTGCGCGAAATAATGACGGAGAGCAACTTAGATGCAACGGATACCAGGCTGATGCCACATTGATTTTAGCATGACGTTCTTGCGCCCCATTTGATGATGGGACGATGGTGGAAGAACTCCATTCTGTTATCGTTCCAAATCTTGTGCAGTATGGTCGTCAGACTGTTCATTAGGACCTCACCACCTTCCCCTAAGAGTACGGGGTACAGGCCATCTGGCCAGGTGCCTTGTTGCGTTCGAGGATTGTTATCTCACGCTGGATTTCTGTTGTTGATGGCGGGCTGGTGTCGATGACCCATCCAAGCCAACTGGGTTTTTTTCAGCGATGGTGTTGAAGGAAACAAGATGTATTGTTCTTTGGATTGCTCACTCCATCGCTCAAGACGAGTGAGGAAGTGAACTGCCGTTCCGTCTTTTTTGCCTATTGTTTCACTGACACCCGCCGTCTCCTGACCGGTTGGTCGAATCAGCTGAAATAGGGCGTGGCTGTTGCCCGAACCGAAAACCTTCTTCATCTCCTGTGCCTTCAAAATCCACCAGCTTTCTGTCATTTTTGCAAGCTCTTATTTAGCCGGCGTTAGAGGATCTGCATGCGCCATTATGGTCATTGGTTGTTGGTATGACCTTTCTGGCAGCAATATGATCTGTCTGTTGATCTCAACGATATCCAGTGTTCATTTAGACGAGTCGGATGGCTTGGACCAACAGTTCTGAAAGCCGAGAGCATGGCTTCGTTGACTCCCTTCTATCCAGAATCCAAGCAATATTCGTTATCGCATGGCTGTGTACTTCCAGCAGCTTTCTAGCCAGGTCAGATCAATACTCCACAGCTACTGAAACTTGTAGGAGTTGATGGATCGAACCACTCTGCTTTCGCATGCGTAATGCATACGAAAGCGAAGTGGCAGCCGGGCCCGCAAAATGGAGTGATTAGAGACAAGCTGCGTACACCGGAAGGAACGACAACCTTTAATTGTCGCGCAGTACAAGATATCCACATGGTCCACGGCTGTCTTGCGGTCGGTGGCTTCCAAGTAACCCAATGTAAGCGCTTTGTGTTGGAAATTTGTACTTGCCAGGAACAGACGATGATCTGCATACAACTCAAGCAGTCACCCCTCACTGTACGTACGCTGAGCATCGACTCCAAATATACTGCACAGTTGCGCTTTTTCCGGGCTTGGTCGTCTAACCAGGGCAATCATACCAGCCGCCAGGATTACCATGTCCGTCCTTCTTGCTGACGAAAGCAGCGGCGACAAACCTTGAAAATAAGCCAGTCCTTCTTAGTCTCAGGGCTGCAGTATGTCGGGGTGCACGCTGATACGACAAATAAACGTTGTTTGCCGCATCAACCTGCATCGATCTTGATGAGCCAGATAACCGCACAGCGCAAAGACGACTGTTTACTGGGATCAGTCCCATAAGGCGCATTCAGGCTTAGGGCCGAATGCAACTAACCAGCCGTAGATAACAACATCGCGTCACGATCACCGGATGCTATAAGAGTGAAATGTGGAACAGCTGAGCTCGTCCTAATCGGCTTAAGGTGTACGACCGAAGTGGGGTCTGTCATGTGTTTCGGAGGCAACATATACATCGACAGATAAGAAAGCAAAATTTTAGCAAAAGATGCGTATTGCCTAATTTGATATAGATTACGCACATCGAACGCTGCAGTGTGAATCAAGTTTTTCTAGGTTAGCAAGTGGTTATCTGGTTTATTTTTTTTTGAGTGAGGGACTAGACAGGAACAACGGCTGGGGGACTGGCAGATAGGTTGATCGCACTGCTTCGTTCGATGGATAAGGAGAGTTAGCGAATAGATTCGACGGCCAATGATAATTCCTGGTTGCCCAAGCCGAAGAAGTGGGTTTGGTTGAGATACCGCGCCTTAAGCCCTTGGCTTGAAAATCTGACCCACAAGGCAGTGGGAGGATGTAGGTTACTGTTTAGGGACCCTGCCCCTAGCCTCCAACTCAATCTGAACTACCAGGCAGAGGGACTTCCTTTGAGACCCTTCTCGGAGCCAAAGACTCTGTGGTCTGACTGACTTAACCGCAAGGAACCAGCCTGGCCAGAGTACACAAGGAGTAAGACATTAGTGTCTCATTCGTAATGCAGCTGCGCACAGCAAGTGCCTTTAGAGTTGTACGACCGTATTGAATAATGCGCCTGATGTCGCAGTCAACCGTTGGGCGATCACAATGTGCAGCTTTGGGACCGATCTTTTATAATCCGTCCTACCTCGAGGACATACAGGATTGGCGATTTCATAAATATGAACATGTTGACCGCCTTAGGAAACACCTTACATTCCACATTCCCAACGTACAGGACAGTAAGACTTCACCTCCAGACGTTACTCGCTGTTCATCGAGCTGCTCCCCGTTGATCTTCCTGGCATGGTTGAACCATTACAAACTACGTTTCAGCCAGTATAGCCCGCAGGATCACCGCATTAGAGAAACGCGACCACCAAAACAATGGGATAGCTTTGAGTCGGATATTAGTGTACTAATGAAGCCCAATGTAATATGCTTAGGTTAAGCCTCCCCATCTCAGCCACTGATCGCATTGTACATTGTCATTATCTACATCTGGAAACTGGAAACACTACCACTTTTGCAGTGCCAGAGTTTTCATTGCCATACCAAATAAGTTTACGCTGCGATGCTCCCAGTCGCCCCATCCAGGGTTTACCTCAGGCATTACGATGCTTAATGATCACGTGAGCGGAGCGTCAGTGTTTGCGCAGTAACGCGGTGCTGTCGATCATGCGGCTGATCTTCGACGATACTCAATGTGGAACTTTCGGTATAGGCCGACGCATAGAAGAGGTTCCTGATGCAACGATCCTGCTGACCAAACGGAGAACAAACACGAAGGGGCTGGACCCTAGAATTTGGTCAGGGACCAGGTGTGAATGTGACTTACAGCACTGTAAGTGGACTGTTGATTGGGGGATTGGGAAAGGTATGCAGTGAAGGTAATAGCTTGGCTGCATGGGCGCCTCCTGAGGGCGCCGTGGGCTTTGCTTGACAATGTCTCTAAACATTGATGTGGTCCGTGTCGGGGTCTCCACCCGGGGAGATGGCAATTACCAGCGCAGTCGAGTTTGCAAATAATGGCCTTTATACTTCGCTTCAAAGTCATTGTTTGACCGCCTCTGACTCTCTTCCACCCTTCACGTGGTTGTGCGAAAAGAACCCTTCTAGGAAGTCGGTCGACTGGCATACGCAGCACGTGGCCAAGCCACAGCAACCTATACAATTTGATAAGTCAGAGGGTTTTCTCCTGAAGGTAATATCACTTTTGACGTTGCTGGGATGAACTGACTCCACACTAATCGTCGGGATCCACGAAAACGTCAAAGACACGTGGAGAGTGTAGCACCTCCCCGTCGTTCGAGTCGAAAATTCGAACTTCGGCACCCTGCTCACATACTTAACTTTGTCCGAGCTGCTTCACTCGGTGGCGACAGTGCGATCAGTTGGTTCAGACGAGGCCTCCTAAACGTATACAGCTTCAGCCAACACCCGGCTCAGTTTTGGGAAAAGTTTACTACGGACAAACCGGTTATACACATACTTGTAAACTCAGCGCTTCCGTTTCAATCGCTACGGATTGGTCCATCTATGGAGTTGCACGAGCTCGCACGCTGCACTTCTCCATCCACCACGGAATATTCGACATTTATACCAACCCACTTTCCTGCTCGTGAGGCACAATTAGATTGCACGTGAACTCCCCACATGGGGAAATCACAAGATACCTTGTGATTTGCATTTTCTAGCCTTTTTTCATTTATGCTCCATACCAAAGCCTCGGAGATGTTGTAATTGAACTGATGGTTTGGTTGTACGACAAAGAAGTCATACATAATACTACTCCCTGTTGGGTTAAAAAGCCTGTAAACGGGGGAATCAAAGAATATATGGGAAGGACACATACAGTTAGGCACAGAAAAACGGCGGAGTTCTGAAAAACCCTAACTACTTACCGCATTATGTATACTACATGTGAGCGTCCACACAACCGCAGTGGTAAGAAAGGGGACACAGAGTAAAACGAAATGTCCGAGGACGATTATGAGTATGTACGTCACCCACGTGCCATGGCTATTAAAGTACTCTGATGTAGGATTCAATACTGACGTAGCAGTCCCAACTTGCATGGCGAAGACAAAGGTAGGGGTGTGCGCGACAATACCGTGATGGCGACCGGGCCTGAACCGCTGGGGAAATGCCCAACCAGCAGTTTGAATCTGTCAAGGTCACGTCCAAGGTTGAAAACCGTCAACAAATTCATTTACAGATCGACATGGTCGAAAATATCTAGTACGGCAATAGGAATACGAAACTATGCATGAATTTTTGCGTGTGTTAGGAGGCCGACCTATGGCAAGCCATATTTCGGGGAAGCTTGGTAGCAGAAAAACGGAGTCTATTTAAAACAGGGGCCTTCGACACACCTAAAATTTCCCTCAAACGATAGTTCGGAAAACGGAAGCTTCGCCAGAATGGTCTATTATTTGACAGTATTTATTTAATTGTGATCTCTCAAGTGGGTATGGTTTTGTCGGAACTTGTTTAAACTCACTCGAGGCCCACCATGGGCGCGGAATTCATATTTTAATGGCTGTCAATGGCTTTGCGTGACGTTCATGCGGTGACGGTTGAAGAGCAGTTTCCTTTACGTGATTTCTCCTATATCGCATTTAGAAATGATCTCAGGACTACAAAAACCACAACCGAGCCCTCAATTTTGGCGCAATTTCAGCATGAATGAGGCATTCGCGACCTGTATTCGAAGAAGATTTGTATGGTTGTGGTTGGAGTTCCGTTAAACAAAACCGAGGAACCTGCCACAGCTGGTGAGCTTCTATGGTGGTCAGCTCACACAATATCGGGTGCACGGCAAGTATTTATCCTCATCGATGTTCTGACCCCTTGATGATCCACTGGGAGAATGGGTGGTTTTCTGTTCACTATAGGGTGCCCAGATCTTGTAAGTTCTGGTACAAATTCTATATTTGATACGGTTTTGTGGACTCGTGTAAGCTTGTGGCGGAAAATATTAGAGATATGAAGTACGCGCATGTCATCAGGTGGGTATCGCACGGTATCACCACAGCGACGTCCTACTTGGGTTAGTGGGTACGCGAACATCTTTGGGAGTCAGTTAGGTTTGTCATGATAGTTGAGATTGTCCAAGGATCGCAACAAATTGGGATCAGCATGGATCAACTACATTCACGCGTCCATTGTGTGTGTCTAATTTGGGGACCCGAGTTTGGAAACCTGTCGAAACGTCTGCTGCAGAGCACCACGGTATGAGTTACTCCGCGGCCCGAAATAGCAGAGAGCCAAAAGTGTTCACACTATTATCTACCACCGTTTGGCGAAACTGCCTGATTTAAAAAACTGTGATCGACGTACTTGTCTATGTGAGAGGGTGTGACTATGAGGGATATGCATCAGCTGATTTGTGCTCAATAGCAAGATCAAAGAAAAACGTCTGATGTCTGTGGTGTCATGTTTTCGTACCCAAGAATGCCGCGCTTACAGCCTAAAAAGCGTGGAATTGTTGCAAAACTGGTTGCCTCTGAGATATATTCAGTGAATCTCTACTGATGTTTTTGCCCCGCCATCATGGAATGACGAATTGGGATATGTAAAGCTGTCCTTGGACTTGGCCATGATGTAAAATTGGGGCCTCCTAGTTAGCTGTGTTCATGGGTACGTGCTCACCAGTCACTATAGAGAGCGAAGGTGAATGACAACACTCAATTGTATCAGGGACAGTCGTTTGCCGTCGGATTAGGTCACTGTTCATTGGTGAGGCTTCCTTGTCAGCGTTGCAGATACACACGGGTCCAGATGTTCCGATGATTATTCGACGACATGAGTGATAATGGCTTCGGACGTCATGGTGATCCGCAGTGGGTGCCCTTAGTTGGTATAATTATGTTTGCGCTTTATGTTGTCTTCAAAATATCGTACATAATATTCCCAATGGTAATATTATAATTGTGTTGGTGCTATACCTGCAGATGTCTCGTGGCGCTATATTACCCACAAGCTAGTTGTTTATATCTAGGAAATAGGATCACCTTCGGAAATGGCCCTCGCATGATTCATGCAGTCTTCCGTTATACCCAATGGAAAGCGACCTCCACAGGACAGTACGATGTGTCAATGTTCTCTGAACAAACAAATCTCATTTGTTAAACCTGTGAAGTATAAATCAAACAAACCGATTTTCCCGGACGGAATACGCACTGGATATTATGTAGATGTTGCCTGAAGAATACCGAGAAAAGTCGAAATATGCTAAGGTGCGATTTCATTATTAATCCTCGTAAAAGTGTAGCGAAATGCAAATCGGTGCCGGTCCGTGACCTTGATAGTCTGCTCACTTAGGCAAAACATCGTGAAAGATATATCACCGAAAGGTTCAAACGGTTTAGTCTGACTCCCGTAAAATTTGAGAATTCGAAAACCCTATAGCTTCGACGAAGGGAATTTGGTTATGCTTCCAATAAGCAACCACTGAAGACTTAATATAATAACAATGAATAATAGATGTGAGTCACGGATTCCCGGATGGATACACAGGACTGAGGCTTGTGTCCGAATTTCCCGAATTGGTTTAGCTCTTGTTTGGCGGCTGCCGTTCACCTGAATTGCACTGGTGAAAAAGGATGCAGGACTTCTCTTCACATACTGAGTGCGGAGCGGTATGCCTGCCACTCCGATGACTCGCAGGAATAAATGTCTGTTAGTGCTTTGACTCATGGGGCTCACTTGTGAGGAATGTGGCAAGCGCTGCAAATCAAAAGCAGCCTTTGTCCCCAACCGTCGTGTTCAAGTCCATGAAATCGTTAGTGCAGACGACGTCACTAGTTGGCCTGTGCTGATTGTTTCCACCTTTTTTGAAGAAGATTGGGCTGATTCAACACTACCGGCGCGTACACCTCTCACAGCATAATGGTGATGTTGTGAAATGTAGGTAGCTCGGGTGCTCTGTTTAGTTGTTAGTCTGTTCGCCGAGCTTGGCAGATGGATTGCAAACGTTTCATCACCAATCGAGGTGACAGCGTCAGTGCAGGGTTGAGTGGGTCTGATGCTGATGAGCTTGACCGAATGTCTGCTTGTTTCAACAACAGTCAAAATCACTCTTGCGGTTGTCCAAAAGTTCATATCTTTCTTTTGTCGCGCGAACGGCAGTGTCCGCGAGACTGGAGCAGTATTTTTCTGGTTGTTTGGGAATCGGCATCGGAACTAAGTTAAGAGGCTTAACTTGCAAGCTTTGCAAGCTTAAATTGTGGTAGCCCCGGCGGGACCACCGGACAAACGTGGGCCAAATCGTCAGAAGCCGATGCTTATAGAGACTGGTTAAAACAAACCATTGATTGCGCCCCGACACTCTTAGAATCGTATGCTGGAGGCTCGCTCGTCCATGTTGACCTTCTGGTCTCGTGGGATGCAGTCTGATATCATGACATCAGCGCAAGTCCTATCGCTTCTGAACTTCCACGCTTCCAAGCCGATTCTACACACGTGAAAAACTATACTCCGACGCCATCGTAAGCTAGCCCATTGGGTGGAGGCCAGGCTTGCCATAAAGAAATCCTAGAAGCTGCTGCCGCCAAGTTGAATAGACCTGGTATAGAATCAAACGCCCGTAAGTCTGAGGTGATGATGGTTTATGAGGACAGGGTGTGGCTTGCGACAGTGATCTCAGACAAACCATTTTGTTTAGCTCAGAAAATCATCGCCCCCGCAGGTCCGATAGGCATCGTGACATATTTGAGCATCCCTTTTACTTTGAAGCGCTGGTGAAGGCTTTACTGCCATAATCTTAGCCTTTCGCGCAATCGAATTTGATGTCAGCTTCTTGGTCCACCAACCGATGATCACTTCTTATTGAGGGGTCTACATCCTCCACTCCGCCAAGAATGTCATTAGACTGAGGCTTCTTAATATCACAGTTAGTGGCTTGAGTTTGCTTGCCTTTGTGAAATCTCTGCGTACTTATGAAAATTTTATGCGCGGCACATGGCGTTGGGTGCACATTCTTGCTCCCGACTGTTACAGGAGTTACAACGGGAACTTAGTACCGGATATGCGAGTTTTTATTGCGTTTGAGCTTCCCGCGCCTTAAACATTATTAAACATTTTTTTCTTTTCTTCGGGTGCCGGCCTTTACACGCTTGCTGACATAGCAGACATAGGAATTCATTTTATCTCACCAGAAGTGTTGCTGGTACGACTTTGAATGGGACACTTTGCATTTATCCGATGTTCTTCTGTAACCGTTTTGTATCCATTGATTGCATTTGTTTTTCGTTTGTGATCATTTTCTCCAAAAATATAAGACATAAATCAGGATCTTTCAAATTTTGCATCGTCACGAGTAAGTGACTTTGATATTAGCAAGGACGTTTGCTTTAGAAGAGGAGGAGGATTGATTTGCGACATAAGTTATAGTTCTGTCCCTGGAGTAAATGGTTGGTAAAAGTCGGATCCAGCTTTTTTTAAAGAATGTTAGCAACCGTTGCACATGGTTTATTGTTGAAGCCCCCCGGAAGAATGTGGGTAAGAGCAAGGCTGCCATGAAGACTCCAGTGGTTGATGCGAATTTTCAATCTAGACGGCTATCCATGGTAAGATGGCTGGTGACATAATGGAATGATGTTAATCGCCATTCGTTCTGGCGAATGTGATGAACTACTTGGCCTTGACGAGGGCTTAAATTCACATAAACAAAGGAAGGATACTAATAGAAATCCAGACAACCAGATATCAGCGTTTTTTGGAAGGAATTATCTCCTCTGCAAGCAAGAACGAATGCTTCGGAATAAACATGTAAATTTTAAATTTTGACCCTGTCTAACTGAGTCCGAGATGAGCAGATATAATCACGGATTCACGGATTCACGGACTGATACACAGGATCTAGGCTTTCGCCCCAGTTTCCCGGGTCGGTTTTGTTCTTGTCGGTCAGTGGCTGTCGTTCACCTGAAAGGCACAGGTGAAAAAAGGTTGTAGCACTGCTCTTTATGTTCTCAGCGCGGGGCAGTATGCTCGCCAGCGCGAGGATTCGCATAAATAAATGTCTAATAGTGCTTTAAATTGGGTTCCAGAAGGAGCGTGTACAACCGTCGGAGGAAGGTCATTCCACGCTTCCCTTAAAATATTTAAATAAGTACAGAGAAGCTTCCTAAGAATTGCATGCTTTGACGGCAATTCCGGTGAAGCAGAGTTTATAAGAAGGACAGTGATTGGAAAACTGGCTGAGAGAAGTTAGTTTAGAAGCCCCGCTAACTGTTTTGGAAACTTCGTACTTCAGGCTACTAACTCCAAGTGTGGATGCCTTACCAGGTGTGATGGAGACCCGTGAATAAAGCATTTTCCACCCCTTCATAGAGGCATTATGTGAAATCCTGTGGCAGCTTTAAAAATCGATGATTATGTATATTGAATTTTTTCACCTTAACATTCCAAGTGCGTGCAGACCTCTGTCAGTTAGCACTTTGTTTCTGCCGAACACCCACTTTCGATCATGAGCCAGATTATTACAACCTACTTTCACCACCAATTTTCATCGAACCGGAATATATATAAGTAGATGCCAGTTAACTGTTAGCTGTGGAGTACAGTGTCATGCCATTCGAATCTGGTGGCATTTTAAACGTGCGGGTTTGCAGGACAAAAAGATAAGCAAATTGTCTAACTCCCCTGACCCATTTGCCTGCGCAGTCGTACCCACCATAGGAGTGTAATGCACTCCCTTTCAAACAAGACAGTTACCAAAGACGGAACCAAGGGTCCGTTCCTGGGTGCGAACGACCAGTGCGAATGCGCTTGAGAAAGTTAATGCGTCCACTCAAGGCTCTGGAAGACACAAGCGCAAAAAAGCAAGACGAATGGGCGAAAATCGATAACAAACTTCCCTCCATTAATGATTACCTGGCGCTATCAAATTTGCAACCGTTTTCTGAGAATGTCATCCAGCACTCTGGCGCGTCGATAAAGATGATAACAGCGTCTTTGGTAGGCAGGTGCAAGACGAAGAGCTGGTTGATAACCTAGGGGTCGTTCTCCAGAATAAGCATGTCAATAAAACTGACGCACTCGCCTTTTGCTTGGCTTTTCACAATGCCCAAAAGTGAATGTCTTCATGCAGAATGGCTACGCCAACTACCGAACGAAAATCGCTGCGCGGACTGACAGCATTCGAAACGCCTAAACAAAGGTAAACCACATACCCGAAGATTGTTCTTTAGAGACACGAAAACTGAGCCCCAACAGTCTAAGGGAGGAGGGGCGTAGCAATTTTCCGCTTGGCGAGACTTTGGCTCACCCTAAACTGATGAGAAACTTGAAGATAGTTGTAGACCCTAAACTACTAAAGGCAGATTGGCACAATCATTCGCGACTCCGGATTGTAGTTTTGACTCAACCGCCGCAGACCGCTCGTGTTCTAACAAAAGAGATGCTCCCGTGGGGGCAAGCCTCGCGTGGACGCGGCGTCCAACGTCTGTGAAATTATCATCTTATCGACTCAACCGCCGCAGACCGCTCGTGTTCAACCAAAAGAGATGCTCTCGTGGGGGCAAGCCTCGCGTGGACGCGACGTCCAACGTCTGTGAAATTATCATCTTATAGTCCCTTACCGGAAGACAAAAGCGAAGCGGTAACTACTTTACATATCCAAAGCTATAATAGGCCAGGTGTGTGGAGACTGGTAATAAATTGAAAAGTTTTGCGACCCTCTTGGTTGGAGTTGAATCAGACCAGGTCTACGTCAACAGCATGACATAACAATATTCGTTGCTCAGAGCTAACAGAAGCGGCTCAGTGACTAGCGAACCATATTGTTATCTATCTGTTCATTTCACGTAGCAGATTCCAGTTGCAGCTGAATTCTTCAGCTGATCTAAAACAACAAAATTTCCCGTGACTCGCTACCATACTGTCTGCATCTGTGTCAATTCCCTCATCTTACTCAGATCTGGCCATCAAAGGACTGCGCATCCCCCTACTGCGGGAACCTGACATCTGATGCGGTACTGGCCAGTGCGGTATATCAATGCAACGCCACTAGGTCACTGCGATACCCAGTCTGTTGGAATTTACGCAACTATTTTCTTCCCGCCCCGGGCCGTCACCTGTCGCCTACTTGAGCCTGCATTGTAACTACGAAGTAATTTTTCACCCAGTCCCAACCGCCTCTGGACGAGTCCGTTCTAACATATTGAACCTTTCGCTCAGCTTTAACCGGTATAGTTTCCACTGCAATTTCAGTTTGCCATCACGATAAGTTCAACAATTTCATTTGAGGTTTTCGTTCGGCTCGGTAAATTAGCTCTATCGTCTATACAAATTATCTTTTATACCTCATATCCCAGCAGCAGACACAACAATAATTTTACTTAGTTCCAATGTAATCCAGACTTTCGTGACGAAAATTGCCAAGTCTCTCCACTCCTAATCACTCCTGCTCTGTCTCCATTTTGCTTTGTGACCACGGCCATCTGTTCAGACATCCAAGGTCACTCGTGGCCAGCAACAGCTTTTCACTTTCAACTCCAGTCGACCGGCCGTAGGAGTTAACTGGTTCAACCACATTCTCCATTGTTCTTATTTTTATGGTTCCCGCAACTACGGTGGCTCTACGCAATAGGCACGTCTCGTTGGCTGTACCTTCGTCTCCACTATGTTGTTGCCCACCTCGTTCAGGTTGCAGCGACCGAAGCATGCATTTGCTGCCATGATCCATACAAGCTGGG